GTTTTCGCCTTTCGGCCTGCGTGCCATGACATTGTATCGAGGATATTTAGTTAGTTTAGCCTGTGCATCTGAGTTCTACAGCTCAGGTAGCACCCCGCACTCTTATGATTAGTAATGCTCTGTTTGGGATTTTATGAGAATTTACCTTTAGTTTTAAAAGTTACAAAATTTTGGGGTGTTACAGTTGGTATCAGAGCCTAAGTTTGACCCTAGGATAAGACTTTTAAGACCAGACTTTAGGACATTAGGCTTGAACTCTAATTATTTAGGAACATAGGATTCAGGAATCTTAGGACGCGCGGTGAGATTGTGAGCCTACCTATCATCACATAACCTCCCCTCACTTTATCCCTCATTAATTTAAAGAATTTCCACATTCGCTTATCACATCAAGGTAAGGGTACAACACACTAACTCTTCATTCCACATACTTGCCCTAGAAATTTGTGTTGACCTTGCATGCTTTTACCTGCTTTGTTGCTTATCACTCTTTGATTATCATACTTGTTTATTTGCTTAAGAATATGTTCCTAATTGATTTTAGACAAGTTAGGGACCGCATATTATTGCTTAACTATTTGATCAAACATGCGTTATTTGGATATCTGTTACTTGATAAAGTATTTTTGAACTTGCAATTAGTAATGTTATTCGGCTTATAAGAGCTCACTTGTCCTAATCATAATTGACCAATATAGTTAACTCACTAATAGCCCGATAAGTACTTACATGAGTTTGCATGAAATTTTGGGGAACATAGCTTTAATTAGGAAGGGGAAGAAAGGGGTGTGTGATCCTTATGATATCTAGTTGAAGTCTCCCGTGTTCCTTGTTAGTGTCATAATAATGTGATCCCTTGATACTTCTTATGTGTTTAACTTGTAAATAACAATCTAATGCTTGAACATGAAAGTCGAATTATCTTCCTAATTGATTTGTTTATAAGTTACACAGAAATTATAGGGACTAATTCTATTTCTAGAAATCTAAAACCTCGAATACATTGCATATAAAGTCTTGACCCGAAAGTCAATCTGAGTGAGACCAGTAGAAAATCGAGGAACCTAAACCAAGTGGTCATCTAGAAATTATCCTTGGAAAAATATATTGCGTCCCTAAACTATCTTGAAACTATCCCCCTAGACTTTGGTCAATGTTGCATGATAGACCACAAGCTTCCCATACCTTGTTTAGAACCCTTTACCACTAAGATAAGGACCCCCCTAAAACAAACGTTTATACATAAATAAGTATATCGCTACTATTCTAAATATATTCCCCTAAAAATCCTATATATATATCTAAAGTATGTAGTAAACCCCAATTACATTCATATGCTACCCTTACACCAAATTATTATTATTATTATTATTATTATTATTATTATTATTATTATTATTATTATTTTCATTATTGTTACACTCTAACCCTAATCGCCTGATCCTAAAAATGGTTGCGTCATATACGATACGTCCCTATATGCTTTTATATATATATATATATATATATATATATATATATATATATATATATAAACCTGTGACCTTATAGAACATCCTCCCTTACTCATACGTATTCATAGAAATTGATACAGTCATATTATATACAACAATATCCCCAGCCCCAAACCATACACATGTACCCTAGTTACGATAATCTTATATACATCCATGAGGTTGCCCTTAGCATGTCCTAACCCTGAAATATCATTCCGTACAAATTACATCACTCTTATATGTATACATACACATAACCTGAGATAGCCCTAATTCTACTTTCCCCCCTCGCATGACCTCCCTGTTACCACTCCTACCTTCCCTAAATAATTAAAAACTTTATCCTCATCATCAGGTCATCAATTAATTTAGGAATTAGCAATCAAGGGTCTTCAGCTCTAAGTTGTTTAGGTATTCTGTGCTTCTAGTGGCAAAAATTATGCATACCTAAAATCTAATTACCACCGAGGTAAAGCTAATTTTCCTAAGTGCTTGTGTGATTAAATTATGTCAAGATTTCTCAAGATAAAACCTTTAGTACTTGTGAACCTAGGCTATCTTACTCGTAATTATTAAAGAATATTTGTATGCAAATTGCATGGTCCCATTTATAGGTAGAAATTTATATTATGTATTGCATGTCAAATCACATAGCCCGCATGTTTATGTCAAAACACACACTTACACACATTCATGTACATATACAAAGCATGCTAAACAAAAAGGGTATGTTATAAGGCATCCCACTATGTATATATACAATATTATTAACTACAAGCAGTTTGCATATAAGTTCCAATACTTGTTATGTGATCACCCACCGTTATCCATGGTATGCAAAATAAAGACCCTAATTCTATTGTCTTCCCAGAATTTATTTACCCCATTAGAAGCAAGAACCTTCCCCCTAATTACTTACAATCTTATCCTCAAAATCTTATTTTCGCTATTTGAATAATTGTTATATGATTTATGACCTTCCTGAATTTATATGACAAAATTTTTGTTATGCCACGACATTAAGCATGTGAATTTAATTGTTAATCATGCACTAGTTAACATGTTGAATGATACATACGATTCCATAAGACTAGTTATTATTTAAGACTTGAAATAGGTTCACACGCCTTCATACACTATACCTATGGACTTAAGAAATTGCATATTTAGTATAATTACGACTGTATACATATAGGCATACCGACTTGCAGGTTCCGCATCTAACATAATAGTTAATTATCATACATGTTAGGTTTGTTATATTTTAACTATGAATATTTGGTATAATCTGCTAAGCACAAAGATTAGACATAGATCCTACATATATGGCGTCTAGGCTCACAACATGCTACACTGCATAATTAAACGTCTGCATCCATCCATAAATGAGGTTCGCCTGTGTTGATATATGTGCATATATACTTTATGATAATTATGTGGCTATCCGGATCTGCACCCGCGTGGTATTTGCCTCTCATTTAGGTACATAAATAATTATATGATCGGTACAACTTGTGATCCTATGTGTTAAATCATTATAAAATAATTAAATAAAGAACATGCCACGTGTAAGACTTCTATGTTATGTATTCGTCACCCGTAAAACTTACATATTGTGTGTTGCATATTCGTGATCTTGTTATTTGGTGCATTTTGCTAGCTCAATAGTTAGGCTCAAACCCAGTGAATTTATATGTGTATGTGTATATATTTCTCATATAATACTTTCCTTATGAACTACTATACTAATTCGGACTCTTTACCCCAAAATAATTTCTAAGCTTCGGGGACGAAGCTTCTTGGTAAGGGGGGAGGGGGGGGGGAGGGGGGGGGGAGGGGGGGGGGAGTGTAACACCCGATGTTACGACCTTTAATCCTGAATTAATTATTTAATTAATCCCGTGAATAATAATTAAAAGGGATTTAATTTGGTTAGGATTCCCTTTAATTAATTAATATGGTCCACCATGGACCATGAACCCGTATCCCTAAACCAAGCCCTTAGTCCTATAAGGAATAGAATTAGTAAACCCATACCGTTCAGACCCTAATTAGGACTCCTACATATATATATATATATATATATATATATATATATATATATATATATATAGACTTGAGTTCAAATGAGGACAAGTATATTATAGAGGACTGTGAGGACAAATGTAGTGTGTGCCATTAGCCTATATGTCGTGTGCATGACCGATTGTAGTTGTGTGCCACAGTTTGTATGTCGCGTGCATAGATTTGTTAATTAATAGAGCATGGGTTCGAAACCTGATGTTTACATGTATTCTTGTGTGTCATTATGTATTAAATTGTGTGCCTGATATTAATTTTTTGTGTGCCCATTATTTGTCCTCACAGTCCTCTATATATTGTTGTCCTCATTTGAACTCAACCATATATATATATATATATATATATATATATATATATATATATATATATATATATATATACACTACAAGAAAAATCATTTTTAGTGACGAAAAATTAGTACGGGTAGAAAAGCCCCTCATTAAATGTAGTATTTACATAGTTTTTGTGAGGGTAAAAAATTACTCTAACTAAAAGTTTATGATTTGGTGACAAAATTTTAAATATATATTTAATTTAAAAATATACTCTCACTATTGATACAAAAACTATTGTTACTCTCACTATTGATGTATTTGAAAATTATTTCATTGAAATTTAATTCCCACCAAAATTTTGGGCGCCCCAAGTGTGCAGCTGGCTCCCTCATTATATGTTTTTTTTTTTTTTTTAAACGAATTAAAGCATCTAATCTCCTCAATCGCTATGATCAACACCGTCAAAATCAATTACTACAAAAAATTCAATGAAATATAAATATATAGAGCCCTAAATCATCAACTCCAGTGTATTTGAAAAGAATCTCAGGTAGATCAGAGAATTTATAACAGCAAAGCGGCAGTGACGAACGCCAAACCAGCAGATTCGACGAGAGCGACTCTGTTCAAAGCGGCGGCGTTGGGAGGGGAAGAAGGAGCATCGCCTCCGGGAGCCTGTGCAATGGATAGAGGATTAGCGATGGTGGAGGCGGCAGGAGTGCTGGTGGGAGGAGCCGTTGGAGAAGAGAGTGGTGACTCAGAGGGAGCGGCGGCAGATGGAGTCTGAGCCGGAGAGGACGCTGGAGAAGAACGTGGTGCCGGCACTGCCTGCGGCGGAGACGCAACCGGAGATGGAGATCTTTTCGGTGAAGCAGCTGGTGCGGCTCCTGGTGCCTGAGCAAAGGCAGATCCAGCCATCAAGGCCACCATCATAACAACAACAATTCTCAAGTAAGCCATTTTTCCACTCAAACGATAATTCAAGTTCAACAAACTTTGCTTCTGTTTGCAGAGAAATTGAAATTGTATGTATAGGCACAGAGAAATATTTTTGAATGAAGAGATGAGTGAATTCATTATATGTTGATTTGCTGCTTGTGTGGACGATGGAAATTTTGGTTTACTTTGCCTTGTTTTAGTAATCATTTATGAAATTATGAAGACTTTTTATTCTAAATTTGTAGCTACTGTTTGTGATTTGTTTTGTTTGTTTATTTTACAGATTGTTATTTCTCTATTTTTGGGTAAACATTTCAATAGCTTTTGATGATTATGGTTTTGTGATCATGTGATTGAATGTATTGTGTGAACAAGGAAACTAGAAAGAAAAAAGAAATACTTGCTTCGACACCTGCGGCAAGGACTTCAACAGCAGGTCAGTCATTTTTTTTTTCTTTTTTCCCGTTCATAATGATGGGTTTCCTATTCATTGCTTGCATTATCTCATGAATTTTAAGCTAGAAGTGATAGCTTAGCTTGCTTTATGGGTTAGGCATGCATTTGTGGTGGCTGTGAGATAATAAACAGTACAGTAATGGCGGATGGATGGGAAAGAGAAAGCCAAAAAGGGGTTTGGATTGTTGTTAGTTGGGCACAAGCTTTGGGTAACTCTTCACTAGCTGATCATACTGATTGTCAACCATAAATTTTTAATAGTAGTGATTTGAGATTATGCATAAAGAGTTTTTGTCATGCTACTTTGATCTTTTTTATGGACAATGGATAAATAATGTAGGCAGTTTACATAGAGGCAATTGCAATGGTGGAAGAGTATTAGCATTCAGCAAGCTCTTTCTGTAGATGGTGGCGTTCGAGATGTTAAGGCTCATTACCCTCAGCTCAGTTTGAAAAACCTTCCTCAGGTTCTTTACTTTTGCACTGTGTATATTAAAACAATAATAGTCAATATAAAAATTGCTATAATGTTACAGTCTTGTAAAATCTCATCCCTTTTGTGAACCATTTACCTTTTCAATTTAGAAAGATAATTAGAAGATGTATTTTGCTGAAAGTATCACTCTTAAAACTATACTTTGTAGCATTTTTCATATTTAGAGTGATAGAAATATGCATAAGTTTAATTTGTGGGATAAACTGTGAATGAACACTCATTCTTGTGTTTTTTTGTGGTGCCGTATAGGATTAGATTTTCCAGTACATATGGAGATTTGTGTACTCTATGTTTTCCCTTTTTAAATTTTCCAGTAATTTGTACCATGGAAAACTTGTGGGAGAGAGTTTCTTGGGAAAGAAAAGGCCAGTTTATGAGTGTAGCGGTGTGCAGGTATTCTCTCCTAACCTTTCTACCCGAGTCATGAACGCCACCCCTGTTTTTTTCCCCTTTGTTCATAAGGCTGTTAACTGTTGACCATTTTTCTGAGTTTGTCTTATGACATCAATGGGGTTTGCATCCCACCACTCACCTGGTCATCATTGTTATCAAAACGTTATTGATTATTTCAGAATTTTTTTTGAAAGCAAAATATTGCAGAAACTGGAGGCCAAGAGCTGTTAAAGAATTGTTTGCTAAATCTTTTCTTGCGTTTTAGGTGAACGGCATGAGCCTTTGATGTATAATGTTGTTAGGAACCAGATTGAGACGGAGTTCCCGGTGGTGGGACTGGATTGATGAGGTATATATGCTTTTTATTTTGTGGTTTCATTATAAACTATGGATTAGATTAAATTATTGCGTATTCTTTGTTCTATACTCATGAATTGGTACACATTTGAAATTTAATTAGATTGTGATAAAGATTTTGATTTTTGTTGTTCAATATTGCTCACCAAGACATGCATACACTATATTGCTGTAGTTTCAAGAATTTTGAGCATATAGCTGTATACTATTCTATTCTTAATTCTATACAACAAAATAATTTTAAGTGTATATTGAGGAGGCATGATGGTATGACTCAGGTCTTTATGTTTAATATAGGTATCATTGCTCTTGAAGGACAGTTTCATCGAATCAACATTTTATGAAGGTATGTTTCTAATGCTCAATGTTATATATTAACGGTTCTTTTTCTCTGTCTTGTGAACTAAGATCATGGACCATTCAATTTATATTTGACTTTGTTTCCCCGGATATGTGTATAATGTCACTAAACTATTGAAATAATAAAAAAGAATAGGGCGATGTACACACATAATAGTTCTATTGCAATCTGTATTATCATTATGTGATTATTATTAATCTTAACGTAAAATTTTTGTTTAATCATATGCCATAGTAGATGTCACCCTTTTGTTTTCTCCCTGCTCTGTTACAAATATTGATAGATCATCTGATGAATTCTAAGCTTGGAAATTGTATGTCTTTAAGATTATACTAAAACATTTTGGAGTTTTATTGCCAGTCAAGAGACAGAGGCCTGTGATTCCAAAGTAGGAAGTGAGATGATAAGCAGGAGTTACCACTGATCTTGCATGACTTGAGCAAAATTAGTTCAAATACAAAAGACTTCTGGCAAAATAGCTAGCCAACAGATACATTAGTATGGCTATTTGTTATAATTAATTTCTTTGTCTTTAGTCTTTACAAAGTTGTATGAAACATTTTATTTTGGTATTAATGATGAAGTCTTTTAATATATTGATCGAGTTTACTTTAAATGCATTATATATCAATATAATATTTATAGTTATAACGTAACATAATATCGATTAGTGAGAAAAAGAAATGTATTACAAAAAATGAATATTTAATGAGAAGTAACAATATATATACAAATTAAAAAAAAAATACTACGGAGTATTTGTTAGTAAATAGTAGTATTAATGACGGTATTTTCTATCGTTATAAGAATATAATAATGAGAGGAAATTACGCTAGTGAGTAGTTGTATTAGTGACGGGATTTTTTGTCGTAAAAAGAACGTTTTAGTGACGGTAAACACACTATCACTAAATTGCTTATTAATGATGGTATCATATCCCATCACTATTTGTTTTTATCTACGGAAGAAATAACGACGGGTGGTGACGGTAAATTTCCCGTCATTAAAAGTCTTTTATAATGGTTTTTGGATTTTTAGTGACGGTTTTACCTCTCATTAATGGACAATTTTCTTGTAGTGATATATATATATATATATATATATATATATATATATATATATATATATATATATATATATATATATATATATATATAAGGACATAGGAGGCACCTAGAAGTCACACCACAATAAATATACCACACAAGAATTCTCAAGGGACTCCCCACCACCAAGCCTAGGGAGATCAAACGGATGGAAATCTTAGGGAAGAACCATAATAGCCAAGGGAGGATTAATTAAGGCTAAGAGGTAACCCATGTCTCAACAAAACCTATTTTCCTTGTTATAATCTCCTCCTTCGGCTCTTTCTATATGCTTGTGTCTTGATGAATTCCTTTATGATAATTGTGATATGATATTGATGATTGATGAGATGATTTTATGTGTGATCTTGATGATCTTGATGTTGAAAAGAGGTTCTTAATTTGTATGTGATGATTCTTGATAAATCTTGATATCAAAGATAAAATATGATTTTAATGATTTAGGTAAGATTATAGCCCTAGGTTGGATTGGGAATTTGTATTGTGATGTTCTTGATATATATTTGGGTGGGAATTCGCATGTTCGGGTGTTGTTTATGTTTAGAAGTCATAATAGGTTGAGTTCTACGTGATTCTTGCTTTTGATCCATTAATTGCCTACATAGTGTCGTTATTTGCGTTTAAAAGTGTCTAAGCATGGTTTCGGGTTCCACAAGAGATTCCGGGACGCATTTTTTTTATGAAAGAGTCAGTGGGGGGTAGGTGGGGGTAGGGGAACCCGCCACCTACCCGCTGCCCGAAAATCACCGCCAGGCAGCGGGCAGCCACCGGGTATGGGGTAGGGGAACCCGCCACCTAACAGCGAAGATCCAAGGAAATAGGAAACCAATTTGGCCAAGGATTACACATGCGTTCACACTTAAAAAAATAGAAAAAGACACTACTACCCCACTTTAGCAAAAAAGATCAATCCATGTCATCTTAAGAAATCAAATATGGGTCATCCAAATAAATAAATAAACTAACGCACAAGATTAGTCATCACGTCCTCATCTAAGGGGCAATTTATATCCTACACCACGGCGCGCATTGCACTGTGCGCCTAGATGCAAAACGACGTCGTTTTATTATTATTATTATTTTTTTTTTGAAATTTCCCGCCCCAGTGAATGGCAATTATTTTTTCTTTAAAAAAACCTCTGTTCAAAAATGTACATAATGTTATACTAGAATACACATAATTGTATACATGAATGTACATAATTATATAACAAAATATACATACTCTTTTTAAAAAGTAATACACATAATCTAACATAATACATAATAAACATAAACTTTTAACATAATACACATCAACTCTTAACATAATACACACAAATTTTCTGATTCGGATGTACATAATTGTATAAAAGGAATGTACATAATTGTATAAAGAATATACATAATTGTATGAACAAATATACATAATTGTGTGAACAAATATACATAATTGTGTGAACAAATATACATAATCACAGCAACTTCCTACCGCGCCTCCCAAAACGACCCCAAAACGACGTCGATTTGGGAGGCGCGCGGCGCACAGTGCTACGCGCGCCGTGGTGTAGGATATAATGATTGCACCTAAGGACGAGTCCTCATTTGATCATATATATATATATATATATATATATATATATATATATATATATATATATATATAGATAACAAGGCTCATATGAGGCAGGGTCCTTAAGTGCGGCGGTGCGGTCATATTAGCATCGTCCATTTTGCTTAATTTGACGGCAGCGGCTAATTTATGAAGATTTGAAGATTTAAGTGTGTCTTGGTAAGTGGGGGGTATTATGGTAATTATAGTGGTCAATTATATCGGTCGTTTAACAAAATACACCAACAGTGTTAACAGAATACAGTAATAGTGTTAGGAAAAGCACAACAATGAAATGCACAAATACGCCAAAATAACACACAACACACCCAAAAAATACACCATTTAACTCACCACCCCAATGGTGTATTTCTGAACACTGTGTGATGCTTTTATTCATACTTAATGGTGTGTCCTGGTGATGCGTGCCGAATTTGTGCATGTTTTTTTGGTGTGCATTTTCTAACATGGATGGTGTATATTTGTATAACTATTAGTGCGGTCGCACTGACCGCACGGGAATGCACCAACATGAATCCACAAATACACCTGAATAAGGTTAATATTGCACCAATAACGAACATAAAACACACAACACTATGATTTGTCATCTTCTGGTGCCCAGTGACGTCTTTAGCCTTGCAGTTCGCGTAGAGTGAGAACGTGCGCGAAAATATCAAAAAGCTCTAACGAATGTGATTCATTACATTTATCTAATCTAATGACCTACAATTGACCGCACCGCCGCACTTGAACCTTCCTCTCTCTCTCTCTCTCTCTATATATATATATATATATATATATATATGTATGTATGTATGTATGTATGTATGTATGTATGTATGTATGTATGTATGTACACACACACACACACACACACACACACACACACACACACACACACACACACACACACACACACACACACACACACACACACACATATATATATATATATATATATATATATATATATATATATATATATATATATAGGGTCACGATCTCATGTGAACACCCGCTTAAGAGAGAACTGCGAATCATCTAGCGCGCGCCACGTGTCCTTTCGTGCATGTAAATGTGTTATATGTGCAAGCAGTTGGTGCATCTATGCAAGTAAAAAGTGCATGTAAAATCACTTACAAGTGCACCTAGTTTCACCTACAAGTGTATGTAATTTTGTCTTGTTAACATTCATTGATCTGGTGCACCTACTTTCACCTACAAGTGAACCTACTTTCACCTAGGTGCACCTACTTATAACTATAGGTGTACCTAGATCTGGAAACACACACACATTCTAAATTCTGATTTAACTATAAACATTTCTGCTAATCTTGCTATAAGTGTTTTTATTGTTTAATTGTTTATTAATTGTTCTTACTGTTATAATATTTTATGAAGTGTCACGATTTAATTATGTGAGTTGAATGTTAACTATTTATGAAATTATATAGGATGACAATCAATAATACAATTAAATTTAGTCCTAAATAAGTTAACGAGCATGTTGAAGTCATGCCTTGTTTTATTTTATTTTATGTATTAATACTATTATGTTTGCATTATGGTGATATACATATGTAGTTATATATTAGTTTTGTATTAGGTATATTTCTTAAATTATTTAGAAATACGAAGTACTTATTAAAGTTTTTAAAAAAACTTAACATGTAGGCATTAAATAGGCTCAAAGCAAGACTACTTACTTTCAAGCCTTTTAATGACATACATATTAAACATGATTTTAAAAAGGGCAATTTATGTCGTGGACCAGGGTCCACATAGCATTGTGGACCCTAGACCAAAACAACGTTGTTTGATGTTTAAGATTTAACGAACTCCGTAACTTTTCGTTTCTCATTTTCAACACAAATTTTAATTTATTTTAGGTACAGAATCATTATGCTTAATGTAGAGAATTGCATAACATGATGTACAGAAACGCATAACACGAGATACATACACATGTTTTCTATTTTACTTATTCTCAAATTTGATTTTTGTAAATAATTTATGTCTTATAGGCACATAATTTCATAATACAAGACATAAATTCGTAAAATACGACACACGATATGTTTTGTGTTATACAACTACTATTCAGATTCAGGTACATAATCTTTACGCTTAACGTACAGAATTGCATAACATGATGTACAGAAACGCATAACACGAGATACATACACATGTAATCTATTTTACTACGAGATACATACATATGTTTTCTATTTTACTTATTCTCATATTTGATTTATATAAATAATGTATGTTCTATAGGCACATAATTTCATAATACAAGACATACATTCGTAAAATAAGACACAATATATTTTGTGTTATACAACTTCTAATCAATTTCAGGTACAGAATCCTTACGCTTAATGTACCAAATTGAATAACATGATGTACAGAAACGCATAACACGAGATACATACAAATGTTTTTTATTTTACTTATTCTCTGATTATGTCCTATAGACATATAATTTCATAATACAAGACATAAATTCGTAAAATAAGACACAATATATTTTGTGTTATACAACTAGTAATCAATTTCAGATACAGAATCCTTACGTTTAAGGTAAAAAATTGCATAACCTGATATACAGAAACACATAACACGAGATACATACACATGCTTTAGAGTAAAAAGAACAAAAAAACTTTTGTGACGCGAACTGAACAACAAACGATCGTCGTTAAAATTAAAGTTCAAAATGACGTCGTATAAAACCAGGGTCCTCAGTGCACTGTAGACCCTGGTCCACGATATAATGATTGTTTAAAAAGGCTTCAGGTTAGGTCGTCAGATCAATTGTAGGCTCAGAATTGAACCTAACAAAAAGCCTATATACGAACCAATGTTGAAAAAATCGCTAGGCGCCCTCTAGGCATCTGGGGACTGCCTAGAGCGCCTAGCGCCTAGGCGCCGATTAATCAGCGCCGAAGCACGATTTTGCAACAGTGATACGAACTCAGGCACAGACCTTGACTCGACTCGGCCCATTTCCATCGTTAACTTTAATTTAACCAAATTACCCCTAAATAATTTTACAAATCTTTTACGCAAACGGTGAAATATTAATGTAGTATGTTGGACGTAATTGACAATTTGTGTTATCGGAAATTAGACAAATAATTTCGCTGTACCCAAATTTCTTGTTTGCTTATACCTAAAAATAATAATAAAACAGGAAGATCAATTAATTTTTTTAAAAAAATCTGTTTCAATAATTTATATTATCAACACAAGATTGACAATTTTATACATGTTAGACGTGTCCGGCCACAGTTTAAACTAAGTGGAGTGAAAAATGACAAAAATTGTGTTAACTTTTTTTCTTTTTGTAATGATGTTAATGTTGATAATGACGCCATCAAGTTGCTGCAGATAACATTGCATGCTGTGGTTCTGAAAGATTTGCTTGGAGAAATCAAGTCATCGAGTCACGCCCACCGCTACTCACGATAGTCTATCTCCCTCCAAACTAGCTCACCCTCAAAAAAAAAAAAAAAAAAAAAAAACAATAAAAAGAAGCAAAGTCTCTCACGCTAAAGCTCTTACACCATAGTGTCTTAATTATTTCTTAGGTGAAAGAACAATTCAAACTAAGTTAAATAAATATTGATTAAAAAAAAATGAATGATTGAACATGATAGGAAATATTGAAATAGACCAAAACAATAAAAATAAAAAAATAGAGGAGCATAAAACAAACTGTTACCTTGAGATACATGCCTTGCACTCAAGTTTGGGATCAACTCACTTTGTATAAAAATGACAAAAATATTTTGATATTTAAAGACATTTCAACTATTTTGTTGACAGGGATAAAAAATTGTAATGTCACAATAATACAAGGACTAAATGTGAATATTCAGATAAAAAATAACTAAAAATAGACTGTCATGTATAAATTTAAGAAAAAAAATATGTCCGCATGGGTAGCTCAATTGGTCATAGAGGTGAAACTTTGAAATAATGACCAAGGATTGAGTCTCACCCATGAACATCGGTAGTCTTTTGGAATAATAAGAGAAAAAATATAATTAACTCATAATTGAATTATTTTAATTTCTTGTCTTTGTATCCATCAAACTTTAGCGCATCATATCAACAATGCGAGAATTTCACGTCATTTCGAGGAGGGTTTTCCTTCTTTATAAACTATAGAAGTAGGTACTTCAAAAACAAAACAAAAAAAGCTTAACCTAAAGAAATAATGGAGTTTCTTCTTTGGTTCACACTCCTTTTTCTAACCGCTTTAATCTTCTTTTTCTTCTTCCCTAGAACTAGAAAGTCCAAGTCCTACAGGCTCCCTCCGGGGCCACCTGGAGTGCCAATTTTCGGCAACTTGTTCGACCTCGGACCCGAACCGTACAAAACAATTGCGGGCATGAAAGAAAAGTACGGCCCAATTGTTTGGCTAAGAATAGGCTGTATAAACACCATGGTTATCCAGACAGCCGAGGTTGCCGGCGAGCTGTTCAAGAACTATGATGTCTCGTTCGCCGGCCGCCAAATCGCCGAGGTTCACCGGGTGCACGATTTTGTGAGCGGGTCAGTGGCGTTAGCCCAGTACGGGCCCTACTGGCGGGTGTTAAGGCGGATCTGCACCGTGGAAATGTTCACGACCAAGAAGATCAACGAGACAGCCGGCGTGCGGCGAAAGTGCGTTGACGATATGGTTGCCTGGGTTGAGAAAGAAGCGAGAGAGACGACCGACCATGGGAAAGGGATTCACGTCGCACGTTTTGTTTTCTTAGCGTCGTTTAATATGGTCGGGAACATGATCCTGTCGCGTGACTTGGTCGACCCTGAGTCTGAAACGGCAAAGGAATTCTTTGATGCCATGATGGGAATAATGGAATTGGCAGGCCGTCCCAACGTTTCAGACATATTTCCGTGGCTCAAGCGGTTTGATCTTCAGGGAGTGAAGAGGGAAATGGAGAGAGATCTCGGGAAGGCCATGGAAATTGCCGCGGGTTTCTTGAGGGAACGAATGGAAGAAGTGAAACTGGGTGGAGAGAAGAAGAAGCAAGACTTCTTGAATGTGTTGTTGGAATTCAGGGGGAGTGGAAAGGATGAACCATCTAAGCTATCTCAACATCAAATTCTCATATTTATCTTGGTAAAAAAAATATAATATATTTTATAAAACCTTAAACTTCAAGATATATATATATTGTTGCAGTTCCAGTGTATATACAAGAAATATATAAATCTTTGGACTCTTTGCAGGAAATGTTTTTTGCTGGTACAGAGACAAGTAGCAGCACAGTGGAGTGGGCAATGACTGAGCTTCTACGCAAATCAGAAGCATTTGCCAAAGCGAAAGCCGAGATCTCAGAGGTTGTAGGATCAACCAGGAAGCTTGAGGAGAGTGATATTAAAAATTTACCATATCTCCAAGCTGTGATCAAAGAAACCCTTCGTTTGCACCCTCCGGTTCCATTGTTGGTTCCAAGAAAAGGATATGAAGACATCAAATTCATGGGATATGACATACCCCAAGGCACTCAAGTTTACATCAATGCTTGGGCAATCGGAAGAGATCCCCAGTATTGGGAAGATCCATTAGAGTTTAAGCCTGAAAGGTTCCTGGATTCCAAGATCGATTTTAAGGGTCAGCACTTTGAGTTGATACCATTTGGTTCAGGGAGGAGGGTTTGTGTTGGGCTTTCTTTGGGGAACCGCATGGCACACTTTGTTTTGGGTTCACTGCTCCGGGAGTTTGACTGGGAATTGGATCATGCAATTGATCCCAAAAATATGGATATGCGTGAAAGGATGGGCTCAACTGTGAGAAAACTCCAGCCATTGCAAGCAATACCAAAAAGGAAATGCTAACCAGCCCTGATTATACTATTCACAAGCCAATCACTTTATGATGTGGTAAAATTAGGAGCATGTAGCATGTATTATAAATAAAGGGTCATTAAAGACCATCACTTGATTCCCTATCCAACTTATACTCATGTGCTCATAACAAGGAGATTTTGATTTGTCCCGGCAAAGGCAAACTAAAAAATCTTATTATTTAGCAAAGGCAAAGTAAGAAATCTTATTGTTTACCAGGACTATGTGGTCCAATGGTATTCGGGTTGGACTTCCACTTGGAAGGTTGTGAGTTCGAGCCTCAGTGAAGGTGTTATTAGCTCTTTGTGTTTCAATAGGTTGAGAAAGTATATGAACAGATACTACAATGTAATAGAGCTAGTAGCATTCAAAAAAAAGATAACTTTAAGCATTTTTAGATTAATTTGAATACTATTGTGACACTATGTATTTTCCAATATATATATATATATATATATATATATATATATATATATATATATAGAGGCGGGTTCAGGTGCGGCAGTGTCTTACGGTGCGGTTATTTCTTACGGTGCGGCAACACCAATAGTTCACCAAATATGCACTATCAACGTTAGGAAATACACCACACAAAACAGAGTAAACAGAGCCCTGCATCACCAAACACACACCATTAGGTGTGAGTAAAAACACCATACACTGTTCGGAAATACACCATTGGGGGTGGTGAGTTATATGGTGTGTTTTTTTGAGTCTGTGGTGTATTTTGTGATGTTTTATTACATTTCATTGGGGTGTGTTTTTATTACACTGTTGGTACATATTGTTAACACTGTTGGTGTATTCTGGAATTTGACCGCACCGCCGCACCGTAAGACCCCGCCGCATATGAGCGCTCTTCTATATATATATATATATATATATATATATATATATATGTATGTATGTATGTATGTATATGTGTGTGTGTGTATTTAATGCTCAAATAATTATTTTGAACCCAAAATTACCTAACTCAATACTCTAGTCCAAGCATTGACCCAACTACACAAAAAATAGTATAGCCCAATCCATAGATGGCAACCCTACCCTATTTAGACACACACACACACACACACACACACACACACACACACACACACACACACACACACACACACACACACATATATATATATATATATATATATATATACATTAGTAAATGTGTGGGTTGAGAGAGATGTAGAAAGAGTTGTTATATTACTTCCTTGTCTCAACAGAGAGACAACAGATAAATATATACAGACTAAGAGACACAATCCTACAGACACAACCCTACAGAACTTCAACAACTATATTTCTACAGACACAATTTTTGTGTTTCAACACTCCCCCTCAAGCTAGAGCATGTATATCATATCCACCAAGCTTGTTACAAATATATTCAATCCTATGACTTCTTAAAGCTTTAGTAAATATATCAGCTAATTGATTATTTGAGCCTATAAAAGATGTAGTAATATCTCCAGAAGTAACTTTGTCTCGAACAAAATGGCAATCAATTTCAATGTGTTTTGTCCTTTCATGAAAAACTGGATTTGATGCAATATGCAAAGCTACTTGGTTATCACAAATGAGCTTCATGGACTCCTTTGTACAAATCTGCAGTTCGGTAATGAGGTTTTTCAACCACACAAGTTCACATGTTCCAACGGCCATAGATCGATATTCGGCTTCTGCACTTGATCGAGCAACAACATTTTGCTTTTTACTTTTCTAAGAGATTAAGTTGCCACCAAAAAATATACAATATCCAGATATTGATTTTCTATCTCATGCACCTGCCCAATCTGCATCTGTGTACCCAATAATTTCAAGGTCTCCATGGTCTTTGTATAACAAACCAGTGCCTGGAGATTTTTTAATATATCATAAAATCCGAATGGCAGCTTCCCAATGACTTTCACGTGGAGATGCCAAGAACTGACTAACAACACCTACCGCAAAAGAGATATCAAGTCGAGTTACAGTTAAATAAAGTAATCTTCCAACCAATCGTTTATATTTTTCCGGATCTTGGATAAGCCCCCCTTGATCTGGTAGGAGTTTGATATTTGGATCCATAGGAGTGTCAAGAGGTTTACAATTCATCATACATGTGTCTTCTAGTATATCCAATGGATACTTTCATTGTGATATGCAAATTCCTTGCTTGGATTGTGCTACTTCAATTTCCAAAAAGTATTTTAACTTCCCGAGATCTTTTGTTTCAAAATGTTGGAATAGATGTTGTTTCAACAATTGTATTCCTTCAACATCATCTCCTGTAATGACAATATCATCAACATATACAACAAGATAAATGCTCTTACCATGTTGATGTCTATAAAAGACGGAATAGTCAACTTTGCTTCGATTTAAACCAAAATTTTGCACTACTATGCTGAACCTTCCAAACTAGGCACGAGGAGATTGTTTTAGACCATAGAGAGAACGTTTGAGCTTACAAACCAAGTTACTCTCCCCCTGAGCAACAAACCCAGGAGGTTGCTCCATGTAGACTTCTTCCTCTAAATCTCCATGCAGAAAGGAATTTTTAATATCTAACTGATGCAAGGGCCAATGATGAACGGCAGCCATAGAAAGAAAGATTCTGACCGAAGCAATTTTAGCTACTGGTGAAAAGGTGTCAGTGTAATCAATCCCAAAAACCTGTGTATATCCTTTGGCTACCAGTCGAGCTTTAAGTCTATCAACCTGTCCATTGGGCCCAACTTTCACAGTATAGATCCATCGGCAACCTACAATTGTTTTACCTTCGGGTAATGGAACTAACTCCCAAGTCCCCGATGAATGAAGAGCAGCCATTTCATCAACCATAGCCTGATGCCAACCAGGGTGGGAAAAGGGCTTCTTTAACAGATTTAGGAGTAGAAACAGAAGATAAACATGTGATAAAAGCATTATATGAAGGTGAGAGACGATCATATGAAATAAAGTTGTATATGGGAAAGGGGTTTCGTGATGACCTGTTACCTACACGATTTGCGATAGGAGAGCTTGTTGCTGGAACCGGGTTCGAGGGCATAGATAGCTTGAGAGATGAATCAGTTGGGATTTCATCGATTTGAACTGTCGCGGGTGGTCGAGAGCGGCGATGATAAGTGTAAGGAAAGGGGGTAACACTGTTGTTTTGTAAAGGAGGTTCAGTAGGTGAGGAGGGACTAGGATTTATAGGTGATGACGGATCTTGAGGTAAATGTACCTCGGTCCCTCCTTGAAAAGTAGGAACAGGAAGAACATCAGGAAAATGAGAGATGGAGGTCGGTAAACTAGACGAAAAGAAAGGTGTTGATTCAAAGAAAGTAACGTTAGAAGATACATAAAATCGATGCTTATCAGGGGAATAACATCTGAAACCCTTTTGCAACCTAGAGTACCCAACAAACATGCATTTTAAGGATTTTGGGGAAAATTTATCACGCCCTAGGGTAGTGTCCCTGACAAAACAGGTGCACCCAAAAATTTTTAAAGGAAGAGAATGAAGGGGCTTATCGGGAAATAAAATATTATAAGGTATCTTACCATGTAAAACAGATGAAGGTATACGATTTATTAAATAACAGGAATGAAGGATAGCATCTGCCTAGAATTCTAGAGGGACTTTATAGTGGAGAATCATGATGCGGGTTGTTTCAACGAGATGCCGGTTTTTACGTTCAGATACCCCATTTTTTTGTGGAGTATCGGGACAAGATGACTCATGGAGGATGCCCGCTGAATCAAGAAAGTTAGATAAAGGAGTTGTAAAGTATTCTCCAACATTATCACTTCGTAAATTTTAATAGACACCTCAAACTGATTTTTTATCTCATTAACAAATTTTTGAAGAACATTAAGTACTTCAGAACAGTTTTGCATTAAAAAGACTCATGTACAACGAGAAAAATCATCAGTGAAGGTAATAAAATATTTAAAACCAAGAATTGAATTATAACGAAAAGGTCCCCAAACATTTGTATGAACTAAGGAAAAAGGGAAAGCAGCTCTTTTATTAACACGATTAGGAAACGATGTTCTAGAATGTTTGTCAAGCTGACAGGCTTCACACTCTAGGGTAGATAAGTGAGACAAACTAGGGACAAGTCACCGTAATTTATTAAGGCTAGGATGTCCTAGTCGGTCATGAGCAAGGGAAGGAGGAATGGTAGCAGTGCAAACTGTAGAAGGTTTTGGGGTAGATAATCGATAAAGTCCTTCTGATTCATACCCCGAGCCAATCATCTTCCCCGAACGACGGTCCTGCATAATGACAGAATCAGAAGAAAAAGTGATCGTACAGTCCAAAGATTTTGTAAGTTGATGAACAGAAATTAAATTGAAAGGACAGTTAGGTATATAAAGAATTGAAGAGAGAGGCAAAGTAGGAAGGGGGGAAGCCTTTCCAATTGCAGTAGCCGTACTCTTGGACCCATTACCGAAAACAATAGATGGAAGGGACTTAGACTTGGTGAAATGAGAAAATAAAGATGAGTTACCAGAGATATGCTCAGAGGCACCTGAATCGATAACCCATGGTCCGCTCAGGCTAGATTGTGATACAAGGGCAGTATGAGTTCCATCAGTTTGGGCTGCAGGAGTTAAACCAGAAGCTTTGGGAGTGGCTTTAAATCGAACAAACTCTTCATACTCAGCAGCGTAAATGGTTCGAGAATTTGGTTCCCCAGGTTGAGATTGAGCAACACTTGCTTGGGTACATACCGGTCTCCCATGAAGTTTCTAATCGCGATTGTTAGTTCATCCACTACCTCCTTGTGTGACTAGAGCAGACTGTTCAGTAGTGGATGTGTGAGTACCTGGAATGGAGGTGACCTAGAAGAGCCGTTTGAACAACTCGGTGGTCCCCGGGACAGTGTTGCTTCCAAGAACTTGATTCCGGATGCTTTCAAATTCTGGACCTAATTTGGTTAAGAGAAGTATTACAAAGAATTTCTCTCGTTGGGTAAGTTTCTCTGCGGGTGTACCACCAATAGGCATGAGTGTACCAAACTCAGCAATCAAACTTTGGGCTTTGCCAAGAAAAGTTTCCATATCAATACCATCTTTCTTCAAGTTAACCAAATTGTCAACAACATTATAGAATTTAGAGACATCATTAGTGTACAGAGATTGAGCTTGACTCCACACCTCGACACATGTCTTAAAGGGCCGAAATAAAGGCAACAATTGTGGAGACTGCCAAAGGAGACTACAAAGTTGAGCATTTAACCTTTGCCAAACTGTTTTTTCTTTTTCCGGTATCATATCCACTCCTTTTTGCAAGTGGTCAACAACACCTTCGCCCATAAACCATAATTCTACGGCATCCGACCAAGAGTGGTAATTTTGAGAACCACATAAACGTTCAGAAGTGATCAAGTGGCTTACCGGCTTAGTGATCAAGGAAGCCTGTAACACCCCGTGTTACGGCCCCTAAACCAATTAATTATTTAAACATTTACCCAAAAGAAAGAATTGAATTTCATTAATTAATTAGGAGGGGTCCACCATAAGCCCATGGACTCTTATCCCTAAAACCAATCCCTTAGTCCTATAGGAAATAGAATTAACAAACCCATGCCATTTAGACCCTAATTAGGACTCTTAGGTATATAAATAGGGACATAGGAGGCACCTAGAACTCACACCATAATAAACTCTCACCACACAAAAATTTCCAAGAATTCCCATAGGAGAAATCAAGGAAGAAGAAATCTTAAAGAAAGACCCTTCATAGCCAAGGAAATTAATTAAGGCTAAGAGGTAACCCATGTCTCAACAAAACCTATTTTCTTTGCTATGATCTCCTTCTTGGCTCCCTCTATATACTTGTGTCTTGATGAATTCCTTTATGTTATTCGTGATATAATCCGGTTGATCGATATGATGATTTTATGTGTGATCTTGATGATCTTGATGTTAAAAAGAGGTTCTTGATATTTATGTGATGATTCTTGATGAAATCTTGATGATAGAAATAAAATATGGTTTTTATGAATTGGATGGGATTAGAGCCCTAGGTTGGTTTGAGAATTTGTATTGTGATGTTCTTGATTTATATTTGGGTGGGAATTGGCATGCTCGGGTGTTGTTCGTGTCTAGAAATCATGTTAGGATATGTTCAATACGATTCTTGCTTTCGATCCATTAATTGCCTATGTGGTGTCGTTAATTGCGTTTAAAAGTGTCTAAGCATGGTTTCGGGTTCCACAAAGGATCCCGGGACGTTTATGGAGTTAAAGAGTCAGTGGGCGGGTAGGTGGGGGCAGGGGTACCCGCTGCCCGAGTTTTACCGCCAGGCAGCGGGCAACCGGCGGGCAGGCGTTTGCCCGCCGGCCACCCGCTGCCCAGAAGTTCACCACCGGCGGGCAGCCGGCGGGTGACCCCCACCCACCGGCTACCCGTTGGTCCGTACCCATCCCGGGTCCTCGGTTTCCCCGTTTGATGTTCCCCATTCCTTGTGGTGTCCCAACGGACCCCGTTTGTCGTGCTTGAGTCTAGTTTGATATTTCGGGTGCCATTCGTAGGTTAAAAGAATCTTGGGAATTGCATGCTAGTTGAATCGGTAACCCGTCGACCTAGGTGGAAGTTGTATGAAGCCCTTAAGACTATTCTTAGTATGTGAATGATCACGCGTAAGCTTATTTGTATGTCTCCCCCTTCCCAATATGCTATTATGTGCTACAATGTGTTATGTGATGCATGATTCCCCAATTTGGTTGCGATCAAATTGGCTATACGGGCAGTTGGATGGGTTGAGAACCACACCAACTGTTAACCAGGCCGGTTGCGATCGGTCAGGTATATAAATATTATATTGGGCTGCGGTCCACTATTTGGTTGTACATGAGCTGCGATTCATTTTCGTGGCTGCAGTCAGTGATTCACTTCTTGGGCTACAGCCCACGGGCCTCGTGTTCGGATGGTCCTCTGACTGGACGCGCCAGCGGTGTGTAGGGCCACCAGCCTGAGGAAGACCATAGCCCACCGAATGAGTGATCAGGCGGTGTGTAGGGCTATGGTTGGCTACGATCCACCGAGTGAAGGGCCAGCGGTGTGCTGGGTCATAGTCTCCGAGGATCTTCGCCCACCGACTGATTCCCTCAGCGGTGTGTAGGACTTGATTCGCTACGACCCACCGACTGTGCTCATTAACGGTGTTTAGGGTCGTAGTCCCCATAAGAGGATCGTTGTCCACCGACTGAGCACGTCAGCGGTGTGTAGGGCTGTGATCCGCCGTCTAGCTTTCGGCGGTCTGTACGGTTGGTTGCGATCAACCCCCTCATGCTGCGGTATGAGGTAGGGTGCTGCGGGGCCATGTTAGTGCTATACGCACTAACCCGCATGTTCGGGGCATGCGGTTGGTCCCGTGGCGCCACCAAAGTGTGCTTATGTGATTTGAATGATGATTCGAATGACGAATGAACGATGATTGAATGATGATGTGGATGATGTGAAAGTAAACTGTGACCTTAAGTATACATTTATTATAATGTTGTCTCTATATAACTGCTTATCAAGATTGAATGTGCATACCCCTACTTGCTGAGTCTATCCCTGATTTTAAAGCTAGAGTTCCCTAAGTATATCTCTTCTTGCTTCAAATGGTTTTCGTGTATGTATATGTATATATATCTACCTATATTGTATTTCCACGCGCTGGAGTGGGTTACCAGCATCATTCGCTGAACAGATATATTTGGCTTTCAGGCACAGATGAGTAGACACCGGAGCGCGCTAGAGATCCGGTGCGTAGACTAGTTATTTTCCCTTTCGGCCTGCGTGCCATGATTATGTATTGACATTGCTTTGAGGATATCTAGTTAGTTAGCCTGTGCATCTGAGTTCTCCAGCTCAGATGTGGCATAGCACCCCGTACTCTTATGTTTGATTTTGGGATTTAATGAGATTTCACATTTATTATATAAGTTTTAAAAGTTTCAAAATTTCGGGGTGTTACAGTTGGTATCAGAGCCTAAGTTTGACCCTAGGATAAGACTCTTAAGACCAGACTTTAGGACATTTGGCTTAAAACACTAGGAGTTCAGTAAGATAGGATTTAGGGATCATAGGACGCGCGGTGAGACTGTGAGACCTTTAAACTTTCCCTCACCCTAACTCACACTTAATTTAAATAAACACCCATAGCATCAAGGTAAGGATGCAAAATAATATCGACCTATGAACCCCAGGATGGCATTGAAAAGGATACAGGCAAAAGCATCGGAACTTCCCACACTGGAATTCTTGGCTCAGAATCTGCAACGTCTGGCCCAAATTGCCCAAGCACTAAACAATGCAGTCCTTCAACCGTCACCACCAAACAGAAACTTGGAAATCCACCGCCAAGTCTCGGAACACCAACTGCTACCTTCTCAGGGGATGAAAACCCCACAATCCTCGAAGAATGGATTGGAACCTTTGAAAAAATATTCAGAGCAACAGAATGCCCAAGAAACCACCAAGTAGAAACGGCCTCCTTCTACTTCAGACACGAGGCCGACATCTGGTGGGTCCACGAGAAACCCAGTTGCGAACGAAGCCCCGGGTTCAACTGGGAAACCCTAAAAACACGACTACGGGAACGATTCTACCCTAGTCACATGAAAGCGACCATGTACGAAGAATTCCTCCATCTAAAACAAGGAGCAACCCCAATCACAGAATACTACGGGCAGTTCCTCAAGCTAGCTCGCCTCACCCCCGAACTGGTACCTACAGAGACAATCAAAATCGAGAAATTCATAATGGTCCTCGACCTCGAGAACAAGAAGGCCCTAACCATACGAAAACCAAGAACTCTCGAAGAAGCCTATGCCAAGGCATTCCAACTACAATAAATGCCGGGCAAGCCACAGGAAACACACCTGGGACACAAAAGGAAAATCGAAGGAAAACACGCAAACCCCCTCCGGGAGCCAAAAAACCGCCAAGGCCACCTCGCCCCACAAGGCCGTAACGCCAGCCACTCAAGGAAGGATCCTTACCATAAGCAAAGCCAAAATCAGAGATAGCAACATAATCTCTACAAATATTTGATGAAGAAAATATTCAACCACCACGAACAAGGTGAAAAGAATACAAATATTACGAGCTTACCCAAAACGATGATGCCTGGAACAAACACTAACCTCTACAAATATTTGATGAAGAAAAGTACCCCAAAGATCTTCGGCAAACCTCACGACAAATCCATCAGACGTGCGACAAAACCTGCCGACACACGCCACCGCCGTGCCACCAAAGAAGCTAGGCAAACCCACAACAAAGTAGCACAAAAAGAAGAAGAAATAAATATTACTCCTTCAATTGCTGCATACGGCCGTGCAAAGAGAAAGAAAGAAAAAGTGAATTTTTCTTTCTTTTTAGCCTACTGCTTCTGCTGAAAAATACAAAATGGAATATGTGTAGTATGTAGAAGTGTCTGGTGTAGTGGTGAGGAAACAATGAATTTTCCCTCCTTTTATAGATGCAGGCAGCCACCTTGGAAATAAAGAAAGTTAATTAATTCCTCAACTTCCTCCCATAAACCTTAGGAAACCTCTTCCCAAGTTCCCTTAGGAAACCTTTTCCCATAAACCTTAGGAAACCTCTTCCCATAATCCTTAGGAAACTTCTTCCCAAGTTCCCTTAGGAAATCTCTTCCCAAGTTCATCCCAAGCAAACTTCTGCCCAACAACTTCATCCCAACATCCACTCTTTAACTTCTACCCAATAACCCATTCTCCAACCCAAATAATTGTCAGCAAACTTTTCCATCAAGCTAACAAATATTGCAGTGGAATAGGCTTGGTCCAAAATGAGCTATTTACCACATAGGAGGGAAGCCCCAACCCAACAAATCTCCCCCTCCCGACTATGTGGAGGATATCGCCGTCCCGGCGATACAGCAACAAACCTCAAGTGACCTTACTTCCATTGGTCCACACACATCAGAATGTATCAACTCTGATGCACATCCCTTTGTTGCCACATTCACTGAACCACCATAAATAGAGCCTTGCAAAGAGTACAAGTTAGAAAACTTGTTACCTCGTGCAACAACCAATGAGCCTTTGGCAATTTTCCACTGTCCATCACCAAAGAAACAACAGAAACCATCATCATCAAGATTTCCAGTAGAAATAAGATTCAGTCTGATACCCGGTGCATGCTTCACATTCTTAAGTACCAGCTTTGTGCCATTGCTGGTATCAAGACAAACTGTACCGGTACCAATCACCTTCACCTGACCATCATCACCCATTCTTATCTCTCCAAAATCACCTGGAGTATATGAAGCAAAGAATTCCTTCCTTGGTGTAACATGGTAGGCTGCACCTGAATCCACAATCCAAGTTGTCTCATGGCAAGTAACATTGTTGGCATTCTCATCGCAGACGACAAGTAAATCTCCTCCAACTATTGCAACTTGGTTCCCGGTGAAATCATCATCATCTTGCTCCTTGTCTCTTTTCAACTTGAAGCAAAATTTCTTGATATGTCCTCTCCTGCCACAATAATGACATTTAACATCTCTACCCTCCTGACCCTTTTGCTTGTTTCTCCCCCTATCTTCTGTAACCAAAATCTCTGACTGAGAAGTGGAGGTGTCTTGAGATCATCTTCTTGCTTCTTCATTCAAGATACCACTCTTGACATACTCCATGGTCACAACACCGTTGGGAGCAGAATTGGTCAAAGAAACCCGAAATGTTTCCCAAGAATCATGTAGAGTGTTAAGTAACCAAAGACCAAGTACCTCATCCTCAAATGTGATGCCCATGCTTGAAAACTGATCAAGAACACCCTGGAAATCATTAACATGATCATTGATCAACGTACCTTCCCTGTATCTTAAATTCATCAACTGCTTCAACAAGAACAACTTGTTATTGCCTGTCTTGGAAGCATACAGGGTCTCAAGCTTATCCCACAGGCTCCTGGCATTCGTCTCATTAATAACATGGTTCAGAACATTGTCTTCGACCCATTGTCGAATATAACCACAAACTTGTTGGTTATCAAAGTCCCACTCCTCGTGTGACATATTTGTTGGCTTTGCACTCGCAAACACAGGTAGATGCAATTTCTTCACAAACAGGAGATCCTTCATCTTGGCCTTCCAAATGTGAAAATTTCTACCTTTCAACCGCACCATATTTATCGTATTTTCCTCCATGTCAAATACACTTGATCAACAACCAGGGCTCTGATACCACTTTGTTGGGAAAAATCCCACTACCTGTGACAAATAAAATCACAGGACCGACAAGAGCGCAAATATGAGATGGTGCAAAATAGCCAAAATAAATAACAGACACAAGGGACACAAGATTTACGTGGAAAACCCCAAAATCACGGGGAAAAACCACGGACCACCACCAACACAATATTCCACTATAAAAAATCTTGGGTACAAAGTTGCTGGCTACCACCCGAGCCAAACACCCTAAAAATCATCAAATACAACAACTAGGCCAAATACAATATATCACGTTCACAGGCCTAAAAGGGATACCAACTCGTACTCAAAAATATTCAACCACCACGAACAAGGTGAAAAGAATACAAATATTACGAGCTTACCCAAAACGATGATGCCTGGAACAAACACTAACCTCTACAAATATTTGATGAAGAAAAGTACCCCAAAGATCTTCGGCAAACCTCACGACAAATCCTTACAATAAAGAATAAATATCCGCTTCCCCGAATCGATAACTTGTTCGACCAACTTAAGGGAGCAGGGGTGTTCTCGAAAATTGATTTAAGATCCGGGTACCATAAAAGTAGCCAACCCAAATATTCAGAAAACAGCCTTTCGAACACGCTACGGCCACTACGAATTCACAGTAATGCCCTTCGGACTCACCAATGCACCCGCTATATTCATGGACCTCATGAACCGAGTATTCCGGCCTCACCTAGATGACTTCATCATCGTGTTCATCGACGACATCCTGGTATACTCTCGAAACAAGGAGGAACATGAAAAGCACCTCCGCACAACCTTGCAAACCTTGAGGGAACACCAGCTATACGCCAAATTCTCCAAATGTGAATTTTGGAAGGACAACGTGGCCTTCCTGGGTCACGTGATAACCAAAGAAGGAATCAGGGTAGACCCAACCAAAATCCACGCCGTCAAAGAATGGCCCACACCAAAATCACTTTCGGAGGTCAGAAGCTTCCTGGGGTTAGCAGGCTATTATAGGAGGTTCGTACCCGATTTTACCAAGATAGCTCAACCCCTCACCAAGCTCATGAAAAAGGAAACCCCCTTTCGATGGGACGGCAATTGAACCTCAGTCTTTCAAGAATTGAAAGAAAAGCTGACCACAGCACCCGTCTTAGCCCTTCCCTCTGGAATGGAAGGATTCGAAGTTTTCAGCGACGCCTCCAAAAAGGGGCTGGGATGCGTACGAATGCAAAAAGGCAAAGTAATAGCATGCGCATCCAGGCAACTCAAAACCCACGAAGAAAACTACCCCACACAGGACCTCGAGCTAGCTGCCATCGTGTTCGCCCTGAAAATTTTGAGACATTACCTATACGGAGTGCAATGCAAGATTTATACAGATCATAAAAGCCTGAAGTACATCTTCACCCAGAAAGATCTAAACATGCGACAACGAAGATAGTTGGAACTTATAAAAGATTACGACCTAGATATCTAGTACCACGAAGGGAAGGCTAACGTTGTGGCAGGCGCCCTAAGCCGAAAGGCTAACCACTCCCTCAACACCACCTGGATCCTGCCAGACGAGCTATACAAGGACTTCCAAAGGTTGAACTTGGAGGTAGTAGAGCAAGGACAAACAAATTTCGAGATCCACCAATTCAATGTCAGAATCATACCCACACTACTCGAAGAAATCAAGGCCGGGCAGCATCGAGACCCAGAACTAAATAAAATACGACTCGACCTAACTCAGGGAAAGGACGGACCATTCGAATTATGCAAAGATAGCAGCCTCCGCTATCAAGGGAGATGGTGCGTACCCACGACACACCCTCACCTAAAACAACAAATCCTAGAAGAAGGGCACAACTCACCATACTCGGTGCACCCCGAATGCGACAAACTATACCAAGATGTGAAAAAGATGTTTTGGTGGCCCAACATGAAAAAGGAAATCGCAGACATCGTGGGCAAATGTCTAAACTGCCAAAGGGTAAAAGCCAAACGATGCAAACCCAAAGGACTCTACAACCCCTTAAGATACCACAGGTAAAGTGGGACTCCATATCCATGGATTTCGTCGGGGGATTGCCCACAACACCAACAGGCAAGGATAAAATCTGGGTAATAGTGGACCGACTAACCAAGACAGCACGATTCATTGCTATGAAAGAAACATGGACAATGACGCAACTAGCTAGGGCCTACCTAAACCGAGTAGTGAAGTACCACGGAGACCCCCGAAACATTGTGTCCGATAGGGATCCCAGGTTCCTCTCACAATTCTGGAAGTCTCTACAAACAGCCATGGAGACACAGCTAAACCTGAGCACTGCCTTCCACCCCACTACCGACGGTCAAACCGAGAGAACCACTCAGACTCTCGAAGACATGCTAAGAGCCTTCATGTTAGACTTCCAGGGGACATGGGAAGAACACCTAGACCCCATCGAATTCTCCTACAACAACAGCTATCACGCGAGTATCCGCATGGCTCCCTACGAAGCGTTGTACGGTCAAAAATGTAGAACCCCCTTATGTTGGGAAGACATGGTCGGCCCAGTGGCGCTAGGACCCCAATACTTACAAGACACCGTAACTAAAGTCAAACACATACAAGAAAGAATGAAGGTCGCCCAAGACCGCCAAAAATCCTATGCCGACCTGGGAAGAAAACAAGCCGAGTTCACCTCCGGAGAAAAAGTTTGGCTAAGAATCTCGCCCACGCGAGGGGTGATGAGGTTTGGAAGAAAGGGGAAAATCAGCCCCCAGTTTATCGGCCCTTATGAAATCATAGAAAGAGTCGAGAACCTGGCTTACCGCCTCGCCCTACCCATCGAACTGGAGCGGGTACACAACGTATTCCACATATTCCAACTAAAGAAATATATACACGATCCAAGCCACGTGCTACAACCCGAGGCCGTGGACCTTGACGACGCACTAACTTACGAAGAGAAACACATAAGGATCCTAGACACCAAGACAAGAACCACCCGTCGGCAAACCATAGAAATGGTAAAAATCCTCTGGACCAACCACGGGGCCAAAGAGGCAACATGGGAACTCAAAGACACAATGAAGGAACGCTACCCTGAACTCTTCACACAAGGTAACCAAGGCAAAAACATAGGATAAGGGAAGAGGTCACTCAGCAAAGACCAGAGCTTCGGGGACTAAGCTTCCCGTTAAGGGGGGGAGAGTGTAAAACCCCGTGTTACGGCCCCTAAACCAATTAATTATTTAAACATTTACCCAAAAGAAAGAATTGAATTTCATTAATTAATTAGGAAGGGTCCGCCATAAGCCCATGGACCCTTATCCCTAAAACCAATCCCTTAGTCCTATAGGAAATAGAATTAGCAAACCCATGCCATTTAGACCCTAATTAGGACTCTTAGGTATATAAATAGGGACATAGGAGGCACCTAGAACTCACACCACAATAAACTCTCACCACACAAGAATTTCCAAGAATTCCCATAGGAGAAATCAAGAAAGAAGAAATCTTAAAGAAAGACCCTTCATAGCCAAGGAAATTAATTAAGGCTAAGAGGTAACCCATGTCTCAACAAAACCTATTTTCCTTGCTATGATCTCCTTCTTGGCTCCCTCTATATACTTGTGTCTTGATGACTTCCTTTATGTTATTCGTGATATAATCCTGTTGATCGATGTGATGATTTTGTGTGCGATCTTGATGATCTTGATGTTAAAAAGAGGTTCTTGATATTTATGTGATGATTCTTGATGAAATCTTGATGTTTCTTGATGATAGAAATAAAATATGGTTTTTATGAATTGGATGGGATTAGAGCCCTAGGTTGGTTTGGGAATTTGTATTGTGATGTTCTTGATTTATATTTGGGTGGGAATTGGCATGCTCGGGTGTTGTTCGTGTCTAGAAATCATGTTAGGATATGTTCAATACGATTCTTGCTTTCGATCCATTAATTGCCTATGTGGTGTCGTTAATTGTGTTTAAAAGTGTCTAAGCATGGTTTCGGGTTCCACAAAGGATCCCGGGACGTTTATGGAGTTAAAGAGTTAGTGGGGGGTAGGTGGGGGCAGGGGTACCCGCCACCTACCCGCTGCCCGAGTTTTACCGCCAGGCAGCGGGCAGGCGTTTGCCCGCCGACCACTCGCTGCCCGGAAGTTCACCACCGGCGAGTGACCCCCACCCACCGGCTACCCGCTGGTCCGTACCCATCCGGGGTCTTCGGTTTCCCCGTTTGATGTTCCCCATTCCCCGTGGTGTCCCAACGGACCCCGTTTGTCATGCTTGAGTCTAGTTTGATATTTTGGGTGCCATTCGTAGGTTAGAAGAGTCTTATGAATTGCATGCTAGTTGAATCGCTAACCCGTCGACCTAGGTGGAAGTTGTATGAACCCCTTAAGACTATTCTTAGTATGTGAATGATCACGCGTAAGCTTATTTATATGTCTCCCCCTTCCCAATATGCTATTATGTGCTACAATGTGTTATGTGATGCATGATTCCCCAATTTGGTTGCGATCAAATTGGCTATACGGGCAGTTGGATGTGTTGAGAACCATACCAACTGTTAACCAGGCCGGTTGCGATCGGTCAGGTATATAAATATAATATTATATAGGGCTGCGGTCCACTGTTTGGTTGTACATGAGTTGCGGTTCATTTTCCTGGCTGCGGTCAGTGATTCACTTCTTGGGCTACAACCCACAGGCCTCGTATGCGGATGGTCCACCGACAGGACCCGCCAGCGGTGTGTAGGGCCACCAGCCTGAGGAAGACCATAGCCCACCGAATGAGTGATTAGGCGGTGTATAGGGCTATGGTTGGCTACGATCCACCGAGTGAAGGGCCAGCAGTGTGTAGGGTCGTAGTCTTCGAGGATCTTCGCCCACCGACTGAGTCCCTCAGCGGTGTGTAGGGCTTGATTCGCTATGATCCACCGATTGTGCTCATCAATGGTGTGTAGGGTCGTAGTTCCCATAAGAGGATCGCAGTCCACCGACTGAGCGTGTCAGCGGTGTGTAGGGCTGTGATCCGCCGTCGAGCTTTCGGGCGGTCTGTACGGTTGGTTGTGATCAACCCCCTCATGCTACGGTATGAGGTAGGGTGCTGCGGGGCCATGTTAGTGCTATA